TTAATCAAAGATCTGACCTCAAAAAATATACCTGAAAATCCAAAAAAAAGGTTAAAAAGGTGATGGGGTGGTGGTGTCAGGACCTATTAACTTAAAAATAAAAAACTGTGAATACCACAATTGTAATAATTATTCCTATCGCTTGCTTCTTTACTCTGTTACTCACGACAAAAAATAAGTACCTTAATTGCACTTATTGTTCCATTAGCAACAGATTATGTTAAAAAAGATTAAAAGTTCAATAAAAAAAAAAAAAAAGTTTGGAATGATTTCATTGGAATATGTTTTAATAGTGCACCGGTTATGCTTGAGAGCTGAATTAAATTATTTTAGAAAAAAATTATTTTAAACATTTTAAAATGTGTAGAAACTTTTACACGTAAAACAGCTACTAATCAGACTTCGGCTCCATGATTTCGATAAATGTTTTAAACACTTACATCTCATTGAATAATTAGAGTTTACGTGCAAGACATGCACCATATTTCTTAGACTATATCGTGTATTACATTTAAGCAAACTTTTTATGTGTTGTGATGTCCTTTAAATAATCTTATCAAAGCATATACTGTATACATGGGTTTTTATAATTGGATATTACAAGTTAAAAGTTTAAAGTTTTTGCTATTTAAATTGGTTACGAATGAAAAAATTAGTAGACAGCAATACATAACAAGATAAAATATATACAATAATGAGCAAACGTTTTAAAGATTTGGACTTAGATGATGATTACAACTGTGAAAACAAAAAGCCATCTTGTGGAAGGTATGGTTTCAGTTTGCATATTCTGTTTATTTTTTCTTCAATTTTATAAGAACGAGCTTCTTTGGTTCAATTTTTCGAATGGTCTTGGATCCATGTATCCTGGTGTGGTATTCCGGTGTTGTTGTGGGGTCACTTGTTATGCATGAACCAGAGTGTTTTCAGGACTATTCTAAGAAATTTGTTCTGAATAATCATTAGTTATATTACTTTTGTTCGATATACGGAATTCCGTAACGGACATGCATATGCTATGCGTATATATCATTGTGTACCAAAAGTGAGCGTTTGATTTGTAGTGTTGAGCTCAATATAAACACGTTAATGCATTTGACTTAAAATATTCCGGGAACTTTTCGAACATCATCGCTGTTGAGCTTTAAGCCGATTATAATTGATGGAATAACCGTGTGCACCGAATAATATACAACCGATAGTATTCAGAGTAAAATAAATTTGAAATACGTATATAATATTAATACCAGTAAATTATAATTATATTTTGACATTTTTTTTTTTTATCGTCATTGCACGGTACACCAAAATAGTTATTGCAATCACCAGGGCCGGTGCAACGGCAGTGCAACCGGTGAACCAGTACAGGGCCCCGCGAAAAACAAATCATTACTGAATAAATATTATAATTTAGAAAATATTACATTATTAATAAAAATATAATATTTTATATTACAGATCCTAGCGAAAAGTCAAGAAAAAAATCGTTCTAAAATATATAATCAATAATAAATAAAATAATATATTATTTTATTGAATACATTTATTTTATAAATATAACTAAAAAATAAAAAGTATAATAGGGTGGTTCTTAATTTAACAAAAAGTGTAGACGTCCCATTTAGCCTGCCGATATTTGATGCAGTAGTATCAAATACAAAACCTTGTACCTTATCAAGCAAAGACCATTTTTCTATACAATCATATACGGCTGATATGTCACTTCCTGATCCTGATGGGATTTCTGGAACGCCAAGAAGTTGTTTTCCATTTGGCATTGAGACAATTACTGGAAGACGATAAACTTTTTCTTGATTGGTTAAGCCAGGATGTAATTTTGTATCCCAATGTACAATTACAAAATCTACATTTAAGCTAACAAAATCTGAACGAACTTTTTCTGCGATTTTTTTTCGAATACTTTCTCGGCTATTTCTAATAGATGTTCTATTAATAATATAATTAGCCGGATTTAAGGAAAGACTTTCTATACATGCTGTTAATAAATATACTGCGTCTCTATCACTGACCTTGCACTTATCTAAAGCTGCAGTAAGCCTTGGTGTCATGATTGATTTTTTTGCTCTTTGAACTCCAGATGAACAGGGTATATCTTCAATTTCTTCATACTCTGAATTCATACAACATTCTGTGCCTCTTCCTCGGAACTAGTGAATGCCGGTGTTCAAACTATAATATAATAATGTATAATATAATCAATGAATACAATAGGTTAGTACGATATGTAGTTGAATGTTTTCAGTATTAAAATTGTAATAATTACCTAGCTCAATATTTGAAAGTTCAGCTTCATACTTTTGTTGTTTTGTTGCCTCTTTATTTTTTTTAATAATTTGTCTTTTTTCTTTTTTCATAACTCCTAGCAAACAACCTGGATAACCTGGCATTCTTTGTCAACGTAAAAAATCTTTATCAATTTCGATTTACATTATGTCAAATGCATTTGCATGTGCTATGTCAAATAAGTTGTCTAATTTTTTTTCAAACAATTTAATCTGAGATTTGTATAGTTGCTTTTCAGTTCTTTATGTTTTTCAACATTTCGCCATAATTCATACGATTTTTTTAATTTCTTCGTACAATCTGCTCGATCTTTTATTGGAATACGTGCTTTTTTCCAAAATATGATACATTCATCAATAACTAAATATGCGCTTTTTCATTTGATTAGCAGAGTTTACTTATTGCTAATGATGTAGTCATGTTGGTAGAGAAATTTAACTATAAAATAAGTGAATTAATTACTAGTGATGCCAAAGTTACTACTACTTCAAAAAGTAAATTAAATAAAAACCAATCAAATCAAAATATGGATAACTAATTGTCTTATTATATCAATTAATAAATAGACAAAAACTTTATAAAAAAAAACTTTAATTAACTTTTGATTTAAAACTTAGACAATATTATATCAAATATAGAAATCTTTTGGACCTATTAATTAAAAAAGGTTGTTGTTTATAGTGATCTAATACTTTTATCTAAAAACAATATGAAAACCACATGGAAATTAATAAATGAATTCTCATATAGTTCTAAGAAAAAAGAACCTCCAATAAACTGCCTGAACAGTAACGTTTCGAATATTCCTTTAACTAACGAATCTGATATATTGAATGAATTTAATTATTATTATATTAATGTTGGAAAAAATTTTTCTGATGAGATAAATACTAGTAATTATAATAAATTAAATTGGAATGAATTAAATAAAAAATGCCATATAAATGATTCTATTTATCTTGATCCAATATACCCTATTAAAATTTCAAATTTCGTTCAGAAAATTCCAGAAAATTCTTCTTATTTTACAAATGATTTGTCTAATTATATTCTTAAAAAAACGGCTGACACAATTTCAATCCCATTTAACTATCATTTTTAATTTTTCAATGGTCTTTAGCAAATATCCTTCTACATAAAAAGATAAAAGAAAAGAATTCTTAAAAAAATTCATTTTTTTTGCCAAATCAATATGGTTTTCGTCCAAATATCTCAACCACGGACCCATTAGTTAAAACTTTCCACATTATTCATGTGTGAATCATGAGTTATTAACAAACAAACTTGATTTCTGTGGTATAAGAGATAATGCTCTAAACTTAATTAAATCTTTTATTTCAAATAGATCCCAACAAGTTAGAATTGAAAGAACACCGAGTTATATAAATACCAATAGTTTTTCGGTGCCACAAGGTACTGTTCTTGGCCCAATATTATTTATCATTTTTATTAATGGACTTTTAAACTGAAACCTAAATGATGATATTTTGTGCTGTGCTGATGATATAGTGGATATATATATATATATATATATTCATCCGCATTTAGGCTTATTTGCTTATAGGATGAGTTGCAATTATTTTAAATATTTATTGTATATTTAACTTGTTAAATTGATATTGTCGCAATAAACTTTATTAATATAATTATTTATTATATTTTTTCCTAAATTAACTGTAGAAAAAAAGGTAGATGAAATTTACAAATTTATCAACCCGATTGAATGCGTAATTCCTTTAAAATATAAAAAATTAATAAAAAAAAATTGTTGATATACAAATATTGACTGTTAAAAGAAGCCACCCAGCAGTGACAATTTTTTTAACTTGATTAATTAATATTGTAAGTTAATTTTTATTTATGAGGTTTTTAAACGTTTTTTTAAAGTTAATTTACTAAAATATCTATGATTTTAATAGGATAAAAATGCATAGTAATCTTTTAAAAGATCCAATATGTGTCACGGAGCAGTCAGGATATAAGAAAAATATCGATTAAGCCTGAGTTCCTGTCAATTATTATTGTGTTTATCCTCGCATGTAAATTTCTTATAATATATATACATTTACTTTTGTATACTTTTATAGGGAACAAAATATCTTATATTTTATATTTTATTCAATACCCAGGATTTGCTAGTGAAGAAACCACTCGCAGTGACCATACTTGCGTTACAGATATTATTAATTTCATTAGAGTACACGAGCACCAGTAAAATATAATCATAGGCACAATTTAGGGAGAGGCTTGAGTGTGCTTAGCACCACAATTTTCGAAATTAGGCGGAATCCACTGTATTTTAATTGCTTCTTATAAATATTTATATAAAATTGAAAACTAAGATATAGGAACTTATTCATTTCCACTTGAATATTATATGAATTTTCTGCCACGTAAAAATGAAATTACACCCATTTTAGTCATTATATCTTATAGTTTTTTAAATTCATCATCATATCAGTTTTTCTTAATCTTAAATATGTTACCTACATTATTAATTATGCATTTTATCATGTATGCGACGATATAAATAAGAAATCAATAAATAGAAATATACAATAATATAATAATATTATATATTGCAAGAAAAAAATATAAATATTATGTAAACAAAATGTAAAATGTTATTAAATTAGTGAAATAAATATAGAAAACATTTTTAAGAAATTAAACATTTATATCATATTTTAAGTCATCTTCAATATCATTGACTATGTATTTCATGTTCGGTGAGCTAGCGTTAATTTCATCATCTTGATGTATTTTATTGAATCTATAAAATATTAAAACAGATAAATTTTATTTTATAATAAGAATTCAAAAATATTAATATTTATAAACATATTATAATAGGGGATAACTGTTGAATAATATCTTGTAAATATTAAGATCAAATTATATATATTGTATGTTGGAATTTAAAATGGGAAACAAAATCGGAGAAAAATAAATTCGTTTACTACTTCTAAATTAATTATTTAATTATTAATTATCTTATTAATTAGTTTTACATGATAAAATTAATTTCTATCGTGAATAAATATTTCGAAACTATAAGTCAAAATGTCGATCGAAAATATCGATCGACATCCTCTGTATAAGATAAGTGTATACCTATGTTATATGTATAATATTGTTAATAGTGCCTATATGTAATTATTACATTGCTCCATTGTCTGTTTCTTCTACGAAATCATATAGTAAATTATAACAGTTATTTTGAATGAATTAAGTCATTAGTTGAACGGTAAGTGTTTTTGTCTATATTTAAAACGAGATCCCTTCATAATCGACTGATCTGGATCTGAAACTAAAACCGACGAAATTAATTCATCCTAATCCAACCTGCTGTTGTCGTAAACTCCGATTTTTACCACCCTAATTTTCTGTTCAACGAATTCACAAACATCAATACTACACAAATTATATTAATATTTAAACCGATGGCTCAGTTTCATCGATTTCAGTTGTTTCATCGTTTTATACCTCGATACCCCAATCAACTCACATTGATATTGAATAATAATAAAAGTCTGATCAATATTTGAAACTCAGTTTAGAATAATATTATATAGTTACCTTCATGAATCTATTTGTCGAAATACATGTCATATCGTGTATTTTAATTGTATTAACGTTGTTGATTAACTTTCTCTAAACGAATCACGTTCTAATATTAATAGATGCGCAAAAGCTTTGACCGAGCTATATTAAACTAGAAATACATCTAGAAATAATAAATCACGTTATTAGGAGAAATATGAAAATTTTTAATTAATAGTATTTAAAATGTTACTTATGATAATTTCGAACCAGTCATTTGTAATATTTTACACAAACAGTGAACTTGTAGATCTCCATTTTATTTTAACACATCCGTTATCAACCTAACCATGTTTCTAATCTCTCAATGGATATAGAATAAATACAAAGTTCTAATTCAAAATATATTATATGGTATGTGTATCTGAAATAAAATATAATTTATTTATTAGTTGGATTTAACAATAATGATGTTATTGTGGTATCTAATTGTTACTCGGTACGGGTGTTCGTTGAAAATGTAATATTTATATTCAATAAACGGCTCATTGGCAAAATTAAAACAGAATAATCCTAAAAATATTCATACTTCACTTATTGAAACTGTTCTATTTTAAGAGACAGAGAGGTTGATAGAATTATCCTTTTAGAACTCAGAACTAAATAAAATAAGACACAAAATGAAGTACTTAGAGGTATCCGTTATTTTTTTTAAAAATAATTAGTTTTCTATTATTACATCTATAATAATATTTTTATTTTTTAGTAAATTATTTTAAGTCATTATTTTGATTACAAGCTTGGTCTCATACCGGGTACATATAAAACTACCGAACGATGCTCTTACAAAAATTTTTCATTGTATATTTCATGTAGAAATATAAAAATGTTAAACGATTATCTATTTAATATAATACTTTTATGTCTTTAGAACGTTTTTTTTTCATGAAATTAAGACTGCTTATAAATGATTCATGAAAATTCAAAATGTTCCTTATCTGAAATATGTCCTTATAATTTATAAATAGTATTTACTATCAGATATCAATTGTATTAAATTCTTCCGATTGTGTTGAGGAATCGTATATCATTTGAGATTTTGGCTCTTCAGGAATTCTTCAATGTTTTTGAGGTAATCGTCGTATGCAAAAAGATTATTACCTCTTATCCAATGCACACGACGATTAACAGATACCCCTATGGAAATTAAAAATAACGTCATCATTGGTATCATGATCTTTCAAAAAACACTACATTATCTATATACATCGTACACTTTTTACAACTTACCATCAGAAAACAAAAGCACTTTCTTTGGTATCCTATTTACGTTTCTATTATAATTATTCGTATTCATCTAAAACAGATTATTATCATACAAAATTAACTTGCAAGTGTGAATTGGACAATGGACCGATGATTATAGTTATACCTAATTATTGTAAACGTTTAATGATATAAAAAAATACGTACTCCGGGACCTAGGAAAGCCAAAATTGAATTTGGCTCCCTGTCAATACATATTTGTTCTGTATTAATTTTATTAAATATTTTATTCTCTAGTTGGTACAGCTGTAAAAAAAAAAAAACATTATATGGGTATTGATGCTCTCATAACATGATCTGTGGACTTACATCTGACAGTTCATGGTCCTTCGTTAACCTCATTATGACTTTCGGCGCCACCCTACTTGCCAATTTGATTAACTTCACCATTTCCTCTTTAGTCATGTTCACTGGTGGTGACGTGACGATGCCGTCTGTCCTCTGCAGCGAGTGAGCATCGACAAAGAAGTCACCTACCAGAAAGACGATTCGATCTTCGACCCCATACACACGAGCATTGTTCCGGGCGAACGCGATTTTGACCGGGTCACTGTCCGTCGCAATGACTACATAAAAAAATGCGAACCGTTACGAGTCCATTGTTAGTATACATTACGATTTAATAAACAATAAACATGTTAAATAATATGACAATAATTGTATTTTCATGTTGTCAGCAATATACCTTTGCGGCAGACCATGGCCAGTTGAATCGCGATCGCACCGGAACCGCAAAACGGGTCTATCACAGTACCCAGTGACTTACACCGGGAAGCCATCAGTTTTGCCAAAACTTCTGGAGGACTGGAGTAAAGGGTCGCTGTAAAAATCGTAAAATGATGATAATATAAACGGAGTCGATACTATAAAAACGTTCGTCTGTCTAACATACCTGGGTCTGCCATGATGCCGTCATTGAATTTCGAAAATCGTGCAAACCGATTTTCCCACAGTTTATAGGTGACGTTCAATTCCTAGGAATAGTACGTCGTGATTAGTAAATATTGGAGAGTTCATGCAGATAATTATGTATATATTAGATAATATCCTGTTGATTAGTATCGTGTTGTATGTATCTGTTGTTTGTTGTTACCGGGACTGGGCAGTATCTTAGATACTAGTATTTAAGATACGTATCCGAGATCAAATTGTATCTTGAATCTGGTATCGTGGATTTACATACTTTTTAAACTTGTATCTAGTATCTTTTTACGATTAAAGACTAAATACAATCTATTGGTATGTTAACATAATTATTAATAATTTAGATTAAAGTTTGCACGTCAAAGGCATTCACTTGATAAATGAACAATATATACAATATTTGCTCATAATAAAGATTATATGACATATGATCTTTATTATGAGCAAATTTTGTAATCAGTAAGTTATATAAATCCAGTTTATCGGCAGAATGTTTTCTTAATTTTATCGTGTTAAAAATTTATTTTAGACTGTGTGATTGTGCGATGATCGGTTCATATTTTCTGTCTACGCGGTATTTGTGTAGTATCGTCCAATTTTAAGTATCTATTACTAAAAACATGGATAATAATGTAATTGTTAATATTCCAAAATCCTTATATGGAACATTCTATACAATATTAAATTTTTATGAAATAATAAATGTAAATTGAAAATTTAAATTATTTTCTATTAATAATTATAAATATTTTTTATTAATTATTAGGCTTAGGGACTTATAGTTCTGAAAAATACACAAATATGCATGCAAATATGCTTCTAAAATCATTAAAATATGCATTTATATGCATTAAAAAAAAAAAAAAAAAAAATAACCACATAGTACACAAAATAAAACGTGTTCATCAGATGTAAATGTATCTTTAAACTCCGAAACAAAACTTTGTAGTCGGCTACTCGTAGACTGTTGTACTTTCAACATTATACAATATTATAAAATATACGCATACGGCGTTTTACGTATGATTTGACGTTGTGTGGTTGCGAGATGCAAAAACAACGACGAATAATAACAATGCCGTAACAACCAAACATTGCGCCCGGGGCGAAACTTCAAAATGTGCCCTTACGTATTTCCAATTTGAAAATATTACACTTATTAGATATTATTTTTGATGATTGTTTTGATTATATTATGAAGGCTATTAAAGATTTTGTAAGCAAAATATACGACATTGACTGTTATAATTTTTAATATTAACCGTAAGATTTTCATTTTTGCGTTCTCCCAGGAATTGCTCCCGGAGCGTAGATACCTCTCGCCACCCCCTAGCTACGGCCGTGGATAACAATCAACTGAAATGGACACTAAACAAATAATCTATTATTCTATATCAACTATTATCTTTATCGACATCCGGTTTATATCTAGCGGGTTATACGGTCGATACAGGTTTATAGTATTATTTATACTTGCACGAAAATTATAACGAGATATGAGAGGTAGTTTGCAGATAGCATACTACTAGAAGTATTAAGTCTTCTTAATATATTATTCTTTCGATAATTTCAATTATTTATCCATAGTTTTTAATTTTAAATTTGGAAAATTTGTCAAAATATGCAAAATAAGCATAAAAATTTTAAAATATGCACTCTCCCGCAAAATCTATCAAATATGCAAAAGTATTCACATTCAAATTTTAGATCTGATATCATGGCACCGAGAAACGAATTTATATCGCACTCTGCTATATTTAACAATAATTAAAAAAGTATGCAAATGCTAAAAGTCCCTAAGCCTATTAATTATATATATATAACAATTATTATTTATTATGTACTTAATGTAATTAAATATTAATAAATGAATAAATTATCTTGTATCTTATATGTATCTCAGCTACCTGTATCTCTAGTTTCTTTAAAAATATCGAAGAATCTTGTATCTTGTATTTAGGTAGTTTTTTTAGGAATCTTGCCCAGCCCTGGGTGTTACACTGTTAGCAATCGTTTTACTGTGATCGACTGATGCAAACAATCAGCAGCAAATTATTTTGCCGCCCTCAAGTTCACGAGTTATTGAAATTATGTTTTTTTTTTTCAAATCCACTCAAATATTCTTGTGTGCATTTGTGGGAAACAAATTTTGGTCCCAACAAATGAAAAGCGTAAATGTTGATGTTCTATAACTACACTGCGCACAAAATCGAGTCGTATCGCGTACGTGAAAAATATGCAGAATCCGGAAGGGCCACCGTTCGCGTTGAACATGACCGTAAATAATTAATGGTAATGTGGTTTTGCATTTACTTTGGCGCGATTTTCTTCCATTTTCGGTAGTACGTAAGGAACGATTTCGTCTTCATCATCACCAAACGTACTGACTTGTTCTATCATCACGCGGACACTTGTCGCCGAGTCGACCGCATCGCACATCAGTGCAGAATGCGCCTGCTCGCTAGTTACTTCGATGACGTCGGACGCGACTTCACCGGCGGACGGGTAAGTCTGCGTGCACGTGTCAACGAACGTTGTGCAGGAGTTGCCGCACGCGAAGTCGCGTTTGGCCACTCGTGTGCTGACAGTAGTGACGAAGTCCGTTTGTAAACCGCATTCCGTAAAGGATATGGGACTGGTAGCCGTTCGACCACCAACGTCATCGCGAACCAGAGGGCCGTCTCGTGGTTCTTCCGGTCCTGTGCAGCAATCGTGATGCGCGAAACCCCGACGGGCTAATGTGGGAAAAGTACGAGCGAGATGATACGTTAAGAAAACCCTAACGGAGATCGAAAGGTGTCGTAGCGCAAATAAAACCTCAACCGTACGCACCTTGATCCTCTGTTAACCAGACAAGGAACCGTGGCCATCTACAAATTAAACAGAAGGTAATCAACTGCAATCGCTCGTCATTCCTGTCCGCCTCCTGAGCAGGACCACTACGGCGATCGGAACTGAAAAACACATAAATATCATGCATTTCAAGTGCGGATGCTCTATCGATCGAATGTCGGACGCGAACACTTCTCGACGGAGCAGAAACGTCGTTGTTACCCGTTCGCGGTGCATTATTGCCTGACGGTACTGTCGTGTAGATCCAATTTACCTGATAGTCAATCCCATTTTCTTGAGATGAATTGATATTGTTGATGGTTTTGATAAGTTTACACTAAATATACCTCTGCTGTTAAGCAAGGCAATGTCGAATGTTATCGTAATAATTTGTTCAACAGTTACAATAAAGTTGCAATATATTTGCCGGGTTATGTTT